CCTCCCCAGAGAGGAACTACATCCTCTTGGTCTTCGTAACGGCCATAGGCATCATCTTTGTTGGAGGATTGTTCTGTGGGCGAGCCCAAACGCTACAAGTTGCTCAAGGATAGATAAGAGTCGGTAGTCTCCATAGATAATGGTCATGTAGATAAAACGTGTTAATCTGGGTTGATAGCAGATTTGTAATTTTTATTAGATTGAATGGATAGCTTATCTGTAGTGTGTACAGGTTTGCAATCTTGTTTATGTGAGAGAGAGGAATGTTTGTGTGAAATGAAAGATTTCCTAGTATTTAAGATTCTGATAACTGTTTTGTGGATGTTGTTAGAGGGAGAATATATTCTGTGTTTGTTAAGTAAGCGTGTGAAAGAAATTAGTTTTGGAAAGTGTATCCATGGAGTGGAGGTAATAAGTTCCCCTTTGTGAGTGATTTGTGTGTGAATTCTTTTTTGTTTTAAAAACTGATGCAAGTGTTCTGAAAATTAATAGAATGTTGTCTGTTATGATACAAAAGGATAAGATAAAAGAGAGTAGGTTAAAAAATGAAAGTGTGATAAAGAACAGCAAATGAACAAGGTCATGATCAAAATTCTCAAATATCATTTTCAGGTGCTAACAAAGTGTACTAGTTGATTCATCCATTTGGCAGGGCATCATCACTGAATCATGAGATTTAAAAGTAAAGAAATGAAGCTGCTTCAGGCAGCAATCTTGGATAAAAAGAGATCATGGGAAAAGAATCCGACTTGCTAGCAAGGAGTTTGCCAAATAACTTTTCACTTTCAATTTAATATTGTCATTATGCCCAACTCAAGTGTTACTCAAGCATTGCCTCTGCAAGGATGCAGATTCTTTTTTTTTTATTATTAAAGATTTATTAATTTTAAGGGAATACTGTGTTAGATTGAAACTGCCCCGCTGAACAGTTCCAATCAGAGAAAATGTTTGTATCAAGCATTCATTTTAATGTATTTTGTTATTGAGGAATCATTCAGTCTTATTGCAGTTGTATGATTTGATATCAAAGGAAAAGGCCTGTCATGGTAACTGTAGTATGTGGATTATATCTGGAAAACTGTTCTACAAAAGATACTTGAAATATAAACAGATGATGTGTTCAGAGTGATTTTTTCTCATTAAGAGTGATAATGAAGAATATGCTTCTTTATTTATTTTCTAAATTTGCTACAATCTCATGGAAGATAAGCAGTGGAAGCAATGTTGATCAGGTCTTTTTACATCACAGTAGTTATACTTGCTCTGACATCTCAACTCATCCTTTTCAGATACAGGAACAATTTTAAGATGTAGTTGATTTATCCACTTACGTGTTGCATTTTTTATTCCCCCTTTTCTTCTTTCCTTTCCAGTTGCTAAAGTCAAATCCTCCCACAAAGTGGATGTAAGAATATGTTGATGGTATGCCACAATGGCCCCCTGTGTCTTAAAAATGCCAAGTTCAGTAACTGGCTGACTACATTCAGTAATTGTTATTTAGTTTATGGGAGGTTACAAAGAGCTCTTACAGACAGCAAAAGCTCTCCAAGGTCTTTTTAAATGCAACATGTAACAGTGATAGTGTGTTCTGAAAGGAGCAAGTTTTCATTTGAATGTATGTAGATCTGTATGATAGGGAATTATGTATTCATGACAGAGAATATGTATTTTCAGGTAAAGTTAGTAAATTGCCATTTTTTTAATAAATCATTTGTAAGTCACCATTTAACTGTCTCTTAGGATATTTATATCTTTATCATTATTGGTATATATTTTTTCGTTATATGTGTTGCAAAACAGAAAAAACTGGCAACTACAGTACCAAAGATATAAAGTTGTTAACAGGATTAATCAAGTGTATATCTTTATAAGAAACTTGGTATTGCAATGTCACTAAATGACATATCAGTCATAAGATTTATGATTTGCTTGTTATGTATTTTATAATTGACACAAACTCCTTATCTCAAGTGTGTGCAAACACCAACAGAGGTGAACACATACTCTTCAATATGGACACATTAGCCTTACCTACACTTATTTTTTTCACGCACTTGCTCACTCACCATTTTATTTACTAGATATCTAATCATAAAGATGCATTAAATAAAAAAGAGTTTGCTTTCACGACTAGATTATTATGCTGCATACATATCATTACAGATTTGCTTTTTATGCTTTATTAAAGATAAATTGATGTGATGAATTGCATGGGGAATAATCTAATGTAAGTATATGTGTCCGGGCACCACAGGTTATAAGACATGGTGTATATCACATGTACTTTAAAGGAAAATAAATGTAATAGCAGCCTGATCATGTAGGTAGCCCACAAAAAGCACAAAAGTGATAGTCACAGTAGCTTGTTAATCAATGATTGCTAATGAGATCAAAATAAAAAGATGTATTTTCTCATCTATTTTTTACATTTATTTTTTCTATGATGATTTGTAGAAACAGTTTCATATTACGTATAATTTTCCTCTCTTTCACTCTGAGTCCCTAATGAATTAGAGTGTAGATTGTTAAAAAGAAATTCTCATTTGTTCTTCGTTTGCACTTAGTTCCAACACTGGAGGTGATAGACACTAGTATAAGGTTTGCATAAAAGTATGAATGTTTGATCTTTCTGCACATGCATTTATAGTGAAGATGCAGACTATTAACATATAAAAAAAAGAAACTGATATAGTGAGCTTCAATATTCTGCATACAATGTACAGGAAAGCATACAGACAACATTAAAAAAATATATGAATGGATTATGCTTTTTATTAGAAGTATTTTTCTTTGTTTTGAAGGTATGTCCTTGTGCTATTTTAATTTCTTTTGTTTTTATCTGGAAAATAGGGTGACTTTTCATTTTGCTGTAAGCTTTTGTGTCATATGCAGAAGATTTGACAAATGCTTTGTTACTTTTGTTTTCATAATATATTTGTTGATTATTAAGTTTAACTTAGTATTTACTTAATTTGTTGCATTACTGTATATATTTAATTTTCATAATCATTTCTTCTTTTGATTTATTCACACTCCCACTCCCTCCCGCAAGGAGAAAATAAGTTGTGAGAAAAACTATGAAACAGGTAATGATTAAATATGTAATTTTTTGGCTTGATAGAAATAACTATGGATTTTCTAAATTTTCAGTATTTTCCTTCTTTGTCTTTTTCTTCTTCTTCCTTATCTTTGTCTTCTTCACCTCCTCTTCCTCCACCATCTCCGTCTCCTTAATTCAGTGATCTGCAATTTCCCCGGACTGTAGTTTAAGTTGCCTTGATTATTCCGCTAATAACCGCTAGAAAGGGAAGGATTGTTCTTTTTAGTTCAGTGGTGCCATGTAGGGTAAGGGATTATATTGCGGATCAGAAAAGAATATCATACATAGAATTAGTAAAAGAAGAGAAAAAAAGTTTCTGGTACATTGATTATCCAGAATTTAGTTACTAAAAGCAAGAATTTTTAATGGAATATCAAGTTACGAAGAAATGACTTTGTTAATCCCAGCCGTTTGGATATATATTATCTAGTCATTTTTCTCTTCCATGAATGAGTTGCATCAGGTCAAGCCAACTCTATATTTGCATATATATCTTTTGATAAGTTTTGTTGCTTATTTTGACAATAATTTAAATTCTAAATTGTGATCTTTAAAACTGATGTTTTCGATAATTTTAATTTTTGGAAAGCTTTGGATGAAAGTTTGGTCTATGAAGAACTTATGGATCAAATATTTAGATTAAATTTACCCAGCATAAAGTTGAATAACTGTATTCTTTTTATATTACATTTTTGTTGTTGGTTGCAGTTAAAATTTTGTTACAGTACTAAAGGATAATGAAGGACTCAGTCAGTCGACAAAGTCTTTAGTGAACATCGTGAGGTACTTTTACCAACAATTGTCTTGCCTAATTTTTTGTGATAGTTGAAAATTTGTCTTTCTCTCTTAGGGGACCACATAATACAAATTACTCTTAATTGCAATACAACACAATGCAGTGCAACACAGCACAACACAATACCACACACACCACACCACACCACACACCACACCACACCACACCACACCACACCACACCACACCACACATACCTTGTGGTACCTTGGTAGTAGAAATTTCTCTTAAAGATCATAATAATCATAATTGAGGCACTGAATATATTTATGATCTAGTAATACTTCAACTCCAGTCTCTTTATTATATGATTATGTTAAGATCATATTTTTTATGCATATGTTAACTAAAACTAACTTTTTAAAATGTTGAGTAAAGCATTCCATTTGCAGAGACTATTGAAATGGTCATTGTGAATCTGTATAGAGTAAAATGCAGTTCTAGCTTATTACCAGCTTGTGCATTATTTGTATGTACACTTGTAAAGCATGACCAGTGCACCCTGAAAAAAAAAAAAAAAACAGCAGTTGATGCTTGTGGAATTAATGCATTGTCTGAAGTTCAGCATGTGTGAAATTATATGATTAATCTCGCAGTTGATTGTGGTAACTGGAACACAAAATCTGTTTATAGGGTTTTGATAAGTTTCTTAGTTTTCCAAATATGTAAGACAAGAAAATATGGTGCTACTCACACTGCAGTCCTTACCACATGCTGATACTGTTGACACTAAAGCGTGTAAAGACGTACCCTCACGGCAAGCTCTTTTAGACACTGCACCGATATAAAGACAAAAGCTATCTTTACACTATGTTAAAGGAGCTATAAAAACATTCCTTAAAAATAACAGTTCTGATAAAGAGTGTAAGTTAAATGTGGTATGTAGACTAAGCTTAAAATGTCCATCGTGATAGTTTTTATATAAGCCTATGTGTCATTCGGGAGAGCATTTTATATTTGGGTGCATCAGAAAGTTTATGTGATGTATAGTACCCCCTCTTATCTCAGAAAATGTAAGTTATCATTCCTGTCATTCATAATAGCCTTAAAAAAAGCCTCTTTGGTGGTGTGGATTTTTGAATATTTGATAAATGGTTCTACATGT